GAAAGGGTGAGGTTCTCTTTCGTGTCCGTGTGGATGGAACTTCGAGATTGTATTGGGAGGCTGCATATTTCTGCTGCCGTTCGAGTGGCAAATGGCCATTCAATAAAACACTTGTATCTAGGGCTTCTGGGTTTTTTGAGGTTCCTGGGGGGATTTTAGTGGACTCACCCTTGTTGTCCCCTTTCCTCGGCCTCTCCCTCGTTCTCTGAATGCACCTTCTCCCGTTTGTAGGTGATACAGATGCTGAAAAAAATAAATCAGGTGATTGATATTTGTTTTTGGTTTCGTTCGTTTGGTTTTTAATAGAAATAATGAAGCCATGAATTTTGATGGAATTGCGTCATGCATTCGATTATAAATGCATTGAGAATGTAACAATTTGTTCATATTAATTATAATTTTTTTACTGAAAATGAAGACTTCTCGTTTTTTCATTATTTAGTTGATTTTTTATGGAAATAATTGAATGATGAATTCGTCAGTTTTTCGATTCTAAATGCACTGAGAATATAATGCAATTTGGTCAGATCAATTATAATCTAATTACAACATAATTAAAGAAGAACTTCTAATTAAAAAATGGAGATGAAATAGAAAATTTGTAATTTGTTTTGACTTAATTCAATTTTAATTAGCATTAGCGTTGATAAAATGTCAATGAACATCCTGTTTGCGAATAATCGTCGATAAAATAGTTCCTAGAATACTTTGTATCGCGAAAGATAAGAGTATTCTGCATTATCCAAGAAAGATGAGAAATAATGACGCGAAAAAAATTTATGAACCGTGGGTAAAGAAGAAACTGCTTCTCCCGACGACGATAATCCTAAGAGCCACCTTCCACTCGCTACGAAAAACTCCCCGGCAACTGCGCAGAACAACCCCGAGCGAAATTGATTTTTTTTTGCGCGCCCACCGCGCACAAAATTGAATTACGCTCCAAACGAAATTCACTGAAGCGTGACGAGAGATGCCTGAATGAGAAGTGAAGTTCCTGCATTTTACTTCCCAAATTTTTTTGTCGAGTCCCCCTCTCTCTAACTTAATCAAGAACCCGAAGGATAGGCTCCAGTCGTTCGAGCACAAAAAGTGAATTCAATATCGCGGCAGTAGTAAATCAATTTGAACATTGATAGATTTCGTTTGCTATTAGTGGGATTTTTCGTCATTATTAAATGTTGAGAGATTGATTATTTGATGAGAATAAATGACGAGTCATGTGTCTAATGGAAATTGCAATTACTATTGTTGAATTGGACCTTTTCTAATTATCAATCACTGGAAGATGAAAGTGAAAATGAAAAATTTATTTTTTTGTTTTAGAGCTTTTTCTTAATTTGGCTTTAACTTTTGGAATAAAAGTTGAGGTAGTCAAATCATATCATTTGCTCGGGAGATATTGAGAGTTTAAGAAGGTCAACTTTATCTTCCACCAAGAGCAAACGGAATTCGTTTCCGTTTTAAAAGATTAATTTTTATTGAACACTGTCCGAAGAAATTTGAAGATTTATGGATAGATTAATAATAATTCTTTGAAGAGCGAAATTTAATGCAATTTAGGAGAAAAAATCACTGGGAACTGAAGGGAATTCCAAATTTTTGAACAGCAGAAGAACAAAAACTTCGCAATTTACGCAATTTTTAGTTAAAATAGTACCAAATTGCGCAGAACTTTCAATCAATTCAAAATCTAATGCTTTATTTCTTTAAATTTTTCTCATTTCCATTACTTTCTAGAAAATAACTTAATCCAATTTCACATGTTCCATAGATTTTTCATTAAATTACGAATTTTCAAAGTTGAAATTCCCAAAAATTTTAGTGGAACTATCACTTGATAAAAAATTCCAAAACTCGCAATTCTTCCGTGATTTCCACGGACTTTGTTGACGAAAAATGTCTAAATTTCCTCACCTTCACATTTCAATTCAATATCTCACCAAAATCACCAAAAATATAAAAAATGCAATCGTTCCCTGCAACTTCCGCATTTGTTAATTACGAAAACTTGGATTCGTCTGAATTCCCGAGATAAATAAAAAAATCGTGAATACTTTCTTCAACACACGTCTCGAACATTTCTATCAAGCGCTCACTAAACACTAACATCCGACAAGTGCGCCAGAAATTTCGTCCAAAAAATTTAACCACAAATTCAGTTCAAATAAACACGAAAAATCCCATAAAAACGTAGCGACATCCTCCTGCAGGCATCCGCCCCCGCGTCATCCGCAAAAAAGGAGAAAAAATTCTCCCCCTGAGCGTCAGATCCACGCGTGGACGATTACGGTCTAATTCCCTTGTACGCATCTCTCTCATGTGCCCCGCTGAAGACCTCAGCATCCCACATAACCTACCTGCCTTGCTAACCCACTCTCACATACTCTCACTCATCCTTCAGCCTCTCACCACGATGTGGCACCTAGCATAAGTATCCGTGTCGCGGGATAAATGAGCCCACGCTCGACAGACAGGGGTTGCCCCACACCTTCACGCACACAATTTTTTATCCACAAGCTCCCCCGGCGGAGGGTAACCCTCTCCCTCCCGATGCACCCTCATTTCTTCTGTTCCCTCGGAATTCTCTCATCCAACTTCCTCCCCCTCCCCCCTCCCCCCGACGAGGGATTCCTCCCGCGTGGAGCCAGAGGGACACGAGTGCAGGGCAAATGTCAATATCGACAGTGTGTTACAAAAAGGAGTGAATTCAGGGGGTGCGCTAATCAGGGCGTAATTAATTAGCAAGGAATTCTCCTGACGACTTGAAACGCCCAACATCTCTCTTTTTTTTCGAACCCTCTGGCACGGAAGAGCAAATCGCAGTGGCTTTGAGGCCGATAGGCAGACCTACCCCTCGTAATATGACTTAGTCACTAGGTTAATGCAGGTTATCATGGAAAAAAATGGGTTTTGATGTAAAAATAAGGCCTTTGAAAAATTCATCCCTCTGGATGGGTATTCATGCATGATTGTGCTCACTCGTGTCACTCGGCTGGAGACCGACGATGAATAACGCATTTCTTCTGTCATTCAGGCTTCTTTCATCGGTAGGAAATTAGTCTACAAATTTCAAAGGAGTAGCGGCAAATGTGGGTTACATTGTAGAAAAAAAATTGGATTCGTTGGAGGGGAAACGTGACATTACAAAGTTCACTGAAATTTCAGTGGAATTTCACGTTTTTGAGCTGCAGAAGGAGAAGAGTTCTCCTATTTACCGAGTTGAGCTATAATTTATTTGGATTGTTCTGAATTTTCCTGATTTCTTTCGATTTTCATTGAATATATGAATGGAAATGTGCATATTTTGTTGATTTTTTTATTGAACTGTGAAGTTTCAATTGCAAAATTCGTTGGAATTTCAGTGAACTATGCGGAAAATACGTTTATCGCCGCGTGATACACTGAGAGGAACAGATTTACTTGAGGCAAATTAAGCAATTTGATAAAAGGAAATTTAATATCTTTCAGAAGAATTAAATTTTTTTCGTTATCATCGGAAATATCTCTAGTAGAATTATAACTGTTGACAGGAAAAAATATAATCTAATGCGCGACAATCATTTGATCTGAGAAAGAAAGAATAGATTGTCGAGGCAAGAATATTTTTTTCCCGAAACAAATTGTCCCCTCGAAATTATTTAATTTTGCTAATAAAGAACATTACACTGTTAGAAAATTACTGTTGAAATGTCAAATAAAAAACATGAAATTTTTGACAACACTAAATGCACATGAAAATTATCTGCATTTTATTACTGAACAATCAATTAACTTCTTTGAATATTCACTGAAATACTAATTTCCCGGTTCATACGACAATGAAAATGTTTGAAAATAAGAAAAACTCAGGCAATTATTTTACGAAATTCTCAATTTATTGAAAAATCAATGAAATTGAATATTCATTCTTCATAATGAAGTCTAAAATTCAAGTTCCAACTTCATGAAATGAATTTTATTGAATTTTCAAGATGACTGGAAACTCCCACGAGCAATGTGATCTTAAATGGAACTCAACCCCTCACATCGAGAATTCAACTGCAGTCGTTGCTGGAAATTAACCAAAATTTTACCAGGGTATTATGAAAAATCCCGATTGTTGACGTCAAGCTAATGCCCTTCAAAAATTCATCCCTTCGACCAACCATTAACCCCCAATTGTGCCGCCCGCGTCACTCGTTCACCGACAACTCATAATTAAGGCAATTCTCTCATCGAAAATGCTTTTTAGTTCTTTATTTTCTTTAATGATTTATGTTATGTGACGTGACTCGGAATAAATGGAAAAAAGATAATCGTGCTTCTGTAAAATTGCTTCGGTGTACACGATGGTATACTCGACGACACTATCAGTACATTCGGATCTTTAATTCAACGTGAAAGTTTCCAACCCCGGGCTCGCGCCGTCATCGGCATTCGACATGCGCTCGTTTTCCTCGTTATTTTGTTTTATGTACAGATATTCATCTTCTTTTGGCGTTAGCCGCATCGGTTTAACGTACACTAGCGAATATAATTTCAAACTGAGAATTATTTATTCTTTTTTTGGAATTGTTGTTGATTTGTACGGATTGTTGCGCTGTTGTTGATGCCATTTTGCTGGGTAAGAGGGACCTTGGGATCCGCAAAAGAAGGAGCCAATTAGAAGCACGCGCTCTCGCGCGCGCACTCGCAAACCAACGGCACAGCAGCTGTCAACGATTGGACGATAAGCTAATTAAAATATTTCGTAAGTACTGAGTTTGGTGGTTGGAGGGACAAAAAATTGAAGTGAATATACACGAGTACCGTTCGACAGATGCCGGGGGAGTGATAGTGGTACATCGGGTGATGGCAGATATCGGATATAATTCTCTAGACTTTTTAATTGCTTCAGGTTGAGGAATAAATTTGCATGGTGAGGAACATTATTCTGATATGGGAGGATTTCGGTAAGTTTTTTTTTAAAACTAATTGATGAAACAGGCTTAGAGGATGTTTTCCTTTCTATTGCGATAAATTGATTCCACACGGAGAGAAAAGTAGAATAAAAAGTAATAAAAAATTTAGCAAATTTTACTGTATAAAAGGTAATCGCGGAGAGAAAGTGTAGTTTAATAGACAATACCCTTTGTGGAGGACATCTTACTTCTAAAAATATAACAGAATAAAAAAAATATTATTATATTTTACTGGAAAGAATGGTTATTGTTTCAAATAAGTGATTTTTCAGTCCTGATGAGAGGATTCCGGTAAGTTTTTTT